CATAGTCTCTTCTAGTCTTCGTCGTTTTATCTTCAGTCCTTTTTTATCATCGTTTTCTATTATCAGGCTCTTTATCTGTTGTTTTCTTTCATGCTTCTCTGTTTTATGCTCTTTTGTTCCTAAATCTTTTATTTGTTCCACTGTTTCCTGGTCTTTCCATAAGTCTCTCTCCATTTTATATTCATTTACCATCTTTTGTTTTATCTCCTGTCCCTTCCTTTCATAGCTTTCTGATCTCAAGCTTTCCGTCTCATGTCCTTTTGTTTCCAATTCATTCATGTGTTCCTCTTTTCCCTGTTCTTTACATGCGTTTCTCTCCATTTCATATTCATGTACCATCTGTTTTTCCATCTCCTGTCCTTTCCTTTCATCGCTTTCTATTCTTAAGCTTTCTTTCTCATGTCCATTTGTTTCCAATTCCTTCGTTTGTTCCTCTATGTTCCGTACTTCCCATTCGACTTTATCCATGTCATATAAATTTACCATCTCTTTTACTTGCCTTTTATCACTTTCTATTCTCAAGTTTTTTATCTCATATCCTTTTTTTTTCCAATTCCTTAATTTGATCCTCTATTTCCTGTTTTAACCATTCTTCTTTCCCCTTGTCATATTCTGTTCTCAAGCTTTCTGTTTCATGCCCTTTCGTTTCCAATTCGGTCATTTGTTCATCTTTTTCCTTTTCCTCCATTTTCTGATCTTCTGTCAGTTGTCTCAATAAGTAGTCCTGCATGTCTTCAATTGAATCGTAGTCCGAAGAATCTGCATACTGCACAGAGCAGTCAGAGTCTGAATCCGAAGAATTATCGTGGAGTTTTTTGGTTCTTATACCCTTCCTTTTTACATCTTTTTTCAAAATTGTCTTTAGAACAGATAGCCAAGCGTTTTGTAAATTTCTTTTTATCGTAATACCAGATGGTCCAGCTTTAGCTTCTTTTATTTTTTTCGTTGGTGTTTTTTTATTCTTGTCTGTTTTTGGCGGTATTCAAATGTATGAGAGAATAGTTATTTTTGACCTCTTTTTTTCTGGTATGTCGTTTTGCACTACTTCTTCACCACTGTTTGCAATAAAATTTCTTTCGCTTGTTATTTCACTAGTTTTACTCTTTGTGTTTTTCTTGGTTACGTTTTTATTTATGTCCCAGCTTGTGACAGATTTTCCAGCTGCGACATTCATTTTTTTATTTGTATTTCGCCTTATTGGGTTTGGATTCCGATTCTCTTTTAGATAGTCAAGTAAAGATTTATCTACGTCATAAGTGATCTCTTCACAGTATTCCGGAATTTTTGAATATACTTTCTGTGGATTATATGGAAATATGCCCGTTGCTCTAAATCCACTGATCAAGTTATCGGCTTTATTTAACTTCACTTCTTCAATTAATTGTTTTAAAAGTATAGGAAAGTGGATTTTATTGAGAGACGTCTGCTTTGGGTTTTCTATCTTATATTTCATAAGAATTTTCCTCCACGTTCGTTTAAGTGGAGCAAAAAATGCAACATCCAGAGGCTGGGTTAAATGCGTTGAATTTGGTGGTAGTAACACGAACCTAATATTGTGACGCTCGCAAAGTTCTACCACATCTACGTTAATATGGCTTGAAAGGTTGTCTCCTATAACCAGCTTCGGTCCTTCCAGACGTTGAGCCCATGGTATTACTATTGTAGTGAACGAATCCATGAACATGCCAGAATCGAACCAGCCACTTTTAGTTCGATTATAACGCGCCCCTTCTGGACCTCCATCACACCATTGTGTCCACATTAGGGTTTGTTCCCGGGAATTCTCGTCCCGGGAATTCCCGGGAAATCGGTCGGTCTCGTACCCGGGAAATTCAGCTCGAGAAAAGTCGAGACATCGAGAAGTTTAAATAAACATTTTTACGCTTAGCTTTCTTTGTAAATGCGAGGTGGCAGCGGCATCCTTTGACAGCACGGCTCGTGTCTGTCGGTATCCTTTGTTTTTGCCGACAAACGCAAGCGCGACGCGGCCTCAGTTGTATTTTGTTCATTCGTGTTTCAACTCCCGCCGTGTTCGGATCGGTCGGATCATAAACCCAGCATAGTGAGTGTATTTACTATTTAGTGACGCACGAGTAATAGAATCGCAGAACAAACAGGTAAGTATTGTTATTATTTATTTAAATAGTTCAAGTGTTTGTTTTGTTTTGTAAGTACTTTTGTATTACCAAAATAATATTTTTGTTTAAAATATTAGGTATGTTAAAGAAATAAAACTTTTGTTTTTAATCAAATAAGAGAATTGTTAGTGCATAAATATTTACCGATTTCATTAATTGCATTTGTATTGCAGATGTTGTAATAATCCCACAAAAGCCTAAAGTTCTAAACTAAACACATAATATTAAGACGTTGTTTTATGGCAATTTATCTACTACAAATAACACAAAACGTATCCAACCAATCCTACCAAACGTAGTATACAAAAGGACACAGCTATTTTTTCATCATCATCATCAGCCTAACCTAACCACATCAACCCCCTGCTGGGCATAGGCCTCCCCACTGTTGCGTCAGCTATTTTGTAGGTACTAAACTAAAATACTTACTAATTCTTGAACTGTTTGTTATAGATTTTACAACTAATGAACCAAAATGGAAACTTCCAAAGTTTGGAAATATTTCAAGAAAAATAAGGACGCCTCAAATGCGCAATGTCTAAAATGTCCTAAAACCATAGCCTGTAAAGGATCAAACACAAGCGGACTAGTGAGGCATTTAGTTCATGTACACAAAATTGATGTAAGATCCACCGAGGTTAAAATGGACACAGAAGAAGCATCTACCAGTTCGTCTAGTTCCGGGGTGACGGCACCAAAAAAATTAAGAAGTGATTTTGAAACTATGCACGTACAGCAAACACTGAAATTTGACGTTCAACCCAGAAAATCGTTAGGTGAAATTTTAGCTAAACTTTCAGCCCAAGATGGTTTTACTATAAGAGGCATTACTAAAAGTGAATTTATCCGTGAATCACTTGCTGCCAAGGGGTATAAACTTCCAAAGACCCAAACCGAAGTTATGAACCTAATATTGAAGTTTTATGATGAAAAGGAGAAAAAGATGATAAAAGAGCTTTCTCAGCTTTGCACATCACCATCAGGAAACCGGCTAAGTGTGACAATTGACGAGTGGACGAGCATACGAAACAGACGATATTTTAGCGTCTGTGTTCATACAGCAGAGGCAAAAGTTTACAATTTGGGGCTAGTTTACATACCCGGAAAATGCGGTGCCGCAGAGGTTAGAGAAATAGTAGAGGAGCGTTTGAAATACTTTGGGGTAAACTTCGAGCATTATGTCTTGGCCGTAACAAGCGACGGGCCAAATGTTATGAAAAAATTTGGCAGAGAGAGCCCCTGTGAGATGGTCCTCTGTGTAAACCATGCTATCCATTTGGCTATTCTTGATACCTTTTGCAAAAAAAAAAACAGTAACTACAGTTGCTAGAAGAAACACACCTGTTAGCGACGATGAACACAGCAGCTCTGATGAAGCCAGCACTGATAACGATGACGAAGAATCTGATGATGAATCTATATTGCAGCCTATTGACGACATAAACAAAGTGCTAAATGAGACCCGTTCGATCATAAGATTTTTCAGAAAGAGTCCCCTTAGAAATATCACACTACAAAAACATGTGAAGACTGAATTCGGGGCCGAACTAGTCTTATTACAGGATATCAGAACTAGGTGGAATTCAATGCTAACAATGATTGAGCGTTTCTTGAAGTTAAAAAATTCCATTAAAAAAGCCTTGATTGATTTAGATAGCTCATTTAAATGGAAGGAGGAAAATATTCCTATACTACAAAAATTGCGGTTGATATTGACGCCAACTAAACTTGCAGTTGAAGCATTGAGCAGACAAGATGCCAATTTACTAACTGCAGAGGCTATAACAGATGTGTTGCTAAAACAATTAGAAAGTATCGACGACCCTTTGGCTCTTCAGTTAGTAGAATCTCTTAAAATGAAAATATCAGATCGTCGGAATACACCTCTAATATCGCTGCTACGCTACCTAAACAGCCCCGATAATTTTATTCTCAAAAAGAGTGCTTATTTTACCGATAATAGCAAGACATTTTTAATTGGATACGCTGAAGACTTATTCAATCGTCTATACCCCACTGTTCCCACTACTACAGAACCTTCGACAGGAAATAATTCAGAAGTTGTCGAAGCAGGCGTAAGCGAATCAGAAACTGAACAAGACAGCTTTGCAGCTCAATTAGAGAGAGCAATAAAAGGTGTTTCGAGAAATGGTGAATCAACTAATGCTGTGGTGCTTTCCAAATCAATTATAAAAAAAGAGTTTTTGCTATTTGAAAAAACAGGCAAGAGGACCCCTAATCTGGAAACACTATACAAAGCATTAATTTCAGTCAAGCTGACTTCAACAGAAAATGAAAGGGTATTTTCCATATCGGGAAATGTGGTCAGTAAAATTAGGAGCCGGCTGTCTGATAAATCTATTAATGCTTTGGTTTATCTTAAGGCATATTTCATAAGAATTAATAAGCAGGCTTAAAGACAGTTATATTTTTCGTATTAATAGTAGATAGATATCTCTTATTTAATTACATTAAAACTGCCAAAAATTGTGATACCATACCACCCACATAGTGAGATTAGTGAGTGATCTTTAAAAAAATTATGATTGTTTTTAGTTAAGATGTTTGTTTTAAGCTGATTGTTAACAGAGATTTTGTTTTTTATTAAAGATTAGTGAGATTAGTTATAATAAGAAGAAGTATGATTGTTTTTAGTTAAGATGTTTGTTTTAAGCTGATTGTTAACAGAGATTTTGTTTTTTATTACAGATTAGTGAGATGAGTGAGATTAGTTATGATAAGGAGAAGAAGTATGATTGTTTTTAGTTAGCAATTTTGTTTTGAGCTGATTTTTTATTGAGAACTTGTTTTTTTTGTTAAAAATTATGTTGATTTTTTTCATGTAAAATAAACACAGTTAAATTAAAGACTCTTTTTATTAATTAAACAAAAATTTAGACGTATTTTATTTTTTCTCGACAACCCGAGAAGACCCGAGAAATCAGGCTCGAGAAGTCTCGACACCCGAGAACTAAAAAACCTCGAGAAATCGGAAACCCTAGTCCACATATTTTCAGATTTATAGACGATGTACGGAGCTAAAAGATCACCACTGGCTGTTCCGGAAAACATTATAGAAATACAACCTTTTGAGTAGTTTACTGTTCTTTCCGGATACTTGATACCCCGGCGAAAAATGCATTTGACTGCCCCCGGGTCATCGCTGACATTTGTTTCGTCGTAATTGAGTATATGGGTTGCCGGCAAATCTTCAACACAGCTCTTTAAATTTTCAAAGTAGATCTTAAAATCTTGAAGGGATTTTTCGGCTCTTGCTTTTTTAATGTTTTGTGTAGATCGCACGGTAAGCTTATCGTGGTGTCTTATCAAAAAGTTTTTCACCCACCAATCACCTGGAGGATTGTCATTAAAAATGTACGCTTTATTATTTTTTTTAAGGTAATCAAATACAATCATACGGAAATCCAACTGTGTCAATGGACATCCAAATTCAGATGCAACAATAAGCACTTTTACAAATTGGAGCTCTTCTTCCTCTGTAAATCGGTACCGTGGACCAGGTTTGTTAGTGTGTAAGTTTTTTGCCCTTTTTTCTATGGTACTATGTGGTATTCCAAATTGTTTTTCTGCGTCATAAGATGCCACATTTTTGTTACGGACCATTTCAACTGCAAGAGTGAGCATTTCTTCAGAATAGTTTTTGTAGGCCCTTGCTCCTATTTTCCTTCGGTTCCGTTTTTTAGGTTTAGGGCGAGTCATATTTTAATTTATCTGAAATAAAGTAAACTCGGTAAGTACCAACACCAAAAGCATTTTTTTATGTCACAAGGCAAGCAGTAGCGGCGGTTATGTGGTGGCTCCAGGTCTTCAACTATATCCATGCAACAAATTACGTCGACCCATTGCACTGTTGCAATGTGATTAAAGGACAAACAAACAAACAAGCACACTTTCGCATTTATAATATTAGCATGATTTATTTATTTATTTAAACTTTTATGCACAAAAAATAAAATCGTACATATGACGGAATCTCCCAGTCAACCATTAGGCTAAGCAGAGAGAAAAACATGATGATGATGATGGATCTATTCCGCCTGCCATATCAGATATAGGTTAAAAAAAAAAAAAAAAAATAAAAATATCTTTATTTCACAACACAGTGGTTTATAATTGTAAACAGAGGTTGGGATCAACCTATTAAGTAATAATAATTACTTGTGCCAGGTGACCCCGCTCTTCCTTACTATACTACATATTATACTTAATTGTGCTTGTGAAGACAATTTGGCAAAATACTTATAAAAATAATTAATATTAACATCAGTTTAGAGTGAAATATGAGGTAAAACAATAATCAATTTTTAATAAAATTTACATATTACCTGAAATGGATTAATTCTTAATTTTAACAAAATCATGTGTGCGAGCCTGCGTGCATGTGTGCGTGCGTGCGTGTGTGTGTGTGTGTGTGTGTGTGTGTGTGTGTGTGTGTGTGTGTGTGTGTGTGTGTGTGTGTGTGTGTGTGTGTGTGTGTGTGTGTGTGTGTGTGTGTGTGTGTGTGTGTGTGTGTGTGTGCGTGTGTGTTGTGAGAGTATGAATGTGTAGGTATTTATAAAATATCACAGTTCTCGTTCACCCATACCGGTTTCAACATATCAAACATAAGAAAAAAAAATTAATTAGTATATTGCAATAAACATTCTGTGTCGTTGTATGTTTTAGTATGTAAATATTTTGTAACAATGTGTTTACATTTGTATGTGTTCAACTGATATATATCTAAATCTTTGTTCAGTCTATTGTAGAGATGAGCAGATTGTGATAAGAACTGACGTTGAGCGAATTTGGTTTTTACGTTTACGGGTTCGATTCTTGATTTCCCATCAAGAATCGAACCCACGGTCTCTGAAATAGTAGATAGTGGCTTAACCACTGCGCCACAAAAGCGGTTTAAAGTGTTAGTACCTACAATATTATTATTATTATTTTTGGGGTATTTATGGAGTATTCTCATCTGGTTATGATAAATAAATGGAAATGATAAATATACATACATATTATTATTATCAGAATAAGTGTATTAATATTGTTATGTAAGTTGTAATTAGCTTGTAAGCCCTCCTAAAAGTAGATAAATAAAACATTTACGTATAGAAACGCGTAAAGTATAGTGACAACCCTAGGTACAGGTAAAGACGCCACTATACAAACTGGCAACTTTACCTCGCCTCAACTATCATTACCTATGCAAATTTCTCTTAACCCTTTATAGGGCATAAGGATCTGGGAATTATATACAAAAAGCGGTTAGGGTATCATTTTAATTATGTTTTTAATAAGCAAGAAATAAAAAAAATATTTTTTTTGATTATTTATTGTAAAAAAAAATTTGGTGGTAAAAATGTTCCCTTTGCCCGTCAGGCCACTCAAGATTACTGTGTATGAAAATTTGCAAAGCATGGAACCACTCAGAGTGGTACGGCGCAAATTTTGCACATTATTTTCGTTCTCTTGTCATGCGTCTTTGTGAAACATAACTTGCAACGCCTGTAAGATGGTTATTCAACTGGCATATGTGTCCCAACATTTTCAAACCGTTTCTCAAGTGGTACACTACCCACTGCTTTTTGGTAGTTTTCTGACAATACTTTTTTTCTATTCACATAGTTGGCCATGCTGGAAGCTCTTCGTTTACGGCTGGAATATTTTCCAACAAGGCCTCTTTCTAAAGCCACGTGAAATTCAAGGTGTGACAGTTGACTTCCTCTTTTATTTTGTTTATAAAGCAGGTATGCATTGGTAATGCTGGCATCTACCAAAAAATAAAATATTCTTCGCCACCACTTCTTACTTCTTCTGCTAACAGAATACGTACTTTTAACCTGGTCAAATTTGTCTACTCCCCCCATTCTCTTTGTATATTCTCTTACTGTCAATGGGCAACTTATAGCTAAATTGGAGCCATCTTTCTGTGTTCGATTTACAGTTCTTTCTATTTGCGGATGAAATACATTGCTCAAGATAAGAACTTCTTTCGTGTCTTGCCACACAACAAATGAAACATTATCTTTTACTCTCCATCTGTACTCTCCCTTATTTAGTTTTTGGCTTGCCTTCTTTCCCTTTTTCTTTTTTATAAAATTAGGAAGTTCTATTCTGTTTCTACGTACAGTTCCAGTCGCGAAAATCCTTTTGTCATACAAATAATTTAGTAAATGATAGTCACAAAAAAAATTATCAAATGTCACATGTTTCTCTTCTTCCATATCCAATAATTTTTCTGTGAGTTTTTTTACTACCTTACTTCCCAATCCACCCTCAGTTCCAGCATTTTGCTTGCCTGTGTAAATATCGAATTCGTAAAGATAGCCCGTGCTACTATCACATCTACACCATACTTTATAGCCGCGTTTTACCGGCTTCATCGGCATGTATTGCTTCAAGGATGATCTACCCTTGAATATTATCATCGATTCATCTATGCTCTGGGATGATGTATTTTTCGCCGCTGCTTGACAAGCCTCATTTATCAAAGTTACTAATGGGCGTACTTTGTATAGTTTATCAAACGTTTCTTCATCTCTCTGGGGCAGTTTATTCAAATGTAATGTTCGTAGCAACACCTTGAATCTCTTTATTGGCATTACATTGGCGATTTCATCAACCCTGAACCCCGGATCAGATGACCAATAAAGATTATAGTCTGGTAAAACATGATAACTCATCATTATAAGAATGCCTAAAAACGCTTGTATTTCAGGCTTTGAAGTCGGTGACCATGTCCGAATATTTTGCTGTTGAGCATATAGATTTGTCTGCTCAATTATGAGGTTATAAACTTCGTTAGTTAAAAACTTATCAAAGTATACTAAAGGCCTGCTGTTGTAAGATATTGGACTACGAGGTGCCAAAGTTATTTTGTCAAATACTGAGTAGTGTGGCCTGTTTCCATTAGACCACATCGCTTTATTCCATGAACCTTCTGATTCAGATTCTTCAGAGCTTTCTTCTATTGTTTCATTTGAAGAAATTCCAGATCTACTACAGCTCGGTTGACCAACAGACATTTCTATTTGTGTATTTTCTGGTATGGATATTTGAAAATGCTCAATTGAAGTGTTTTGAATGTGTGACTCAATATTATCTTTATAAGATTGTGGAAACTCCTGTGTCACTGGTGACGGAATTGTTTCCGGAATGTTTATATTTGTATTACTACTTGAGCTAGATTGCTCACCTTCTGAATTCACCAAAAGATTCTTGAGTTTTTCCACATTATACTCTTTACCATGTTCGTCAGACTCATATTCATCTTCGGAATTCGCTGGATCATAAGGCAAGCTAACTAATAATTCCAGCTCTTTCGCAATCTCATCATCTAGCAACAGTCTCCGTGACATTTTCAGAATTCTGAAATAAATTCATATTTTGTACATAACAATGAGTAGGTATGGCGGACCGGGCAAGGGGAAATATATTCCCACCGATTCTTAGACACATTACTCTAATCACGAATATTGAAATTGAAAAATATGAATGATTTTGAGAAGACTATACACATTTCTAAGAAATAAAAGTAAAATTACACAATAACGCCATGTTTTCTGAAAGATTTATCGAGATTAGTTACAATAGCTCAAAAGTTACCTTTTTCGCAATCTCTTGACGCCACCATCGAAAAACGAATAATAATTGTCAGATGTCACTTGTCAAAATTTGTTTCTTGTCATTCATGAACGTTGCCAGGCTAAAAAATAAAGACCTAACACAAATGCATTCAGAAATATCTAAAAAAAAAAACTGGTGGTAAAAATATTCCCTTTGCCCTACAAAGGGTTAAAATTATTAAGAAATTACCACTATAACAGCTGCCACGTCTTCTTAGGAAGGTTATATATAATATATATCAATTCTACTTACCTCAGCCAAGCAAATTCACAAGCACAATTAAAATTTCGACCAGAATTAGCTGCGACAAGTGTCCCGCGATGATCAACAAACGTTAATAACTTGTCATTGGACAGTGCTGCCAGTATAAAAAAAATATGCGTGACCATAGGTTCATTACGAAACTACTAATGTGTCTATGAAATATCTACCAATAGTAGTTTCTGATAAAAATGATTTTTCTTATTACTTGTCAGTGGTAGGTAAAGATGACAAGGGAAGGTAAAGATGCCTTAGTTGACGGTAACGAGATCAATCAGCATAATTATAAACTTAACTAGTTATTTAAAATGAAATAAAGTATTTCTTCTCGTATGAATGATCTTAGCGCGTTTTCACTGAACACCAGGGTTATCATGGTTTTTACACAAAATATTAATTCAATAATTAAATCAATCATTTTGATTAGTGAGATCAATATTGTATTAATATAAAATTAAATTAAATATTTTTAATTCTCCTCATCTTCATCTGTTTCAGCTAAAGCATCACGTACGTTTTCATCATGCTTCATACTTAAATATTCTTGATGGTATCTGTTTGGAATCACATTTTTGTTACACAGATCCTGTAAATCTTTGTATTTAGCTAATGAAAGTTTGAGCTTTTCGGCGTATAAAGGTGTAGGTCCCCTTTCCACAATAGCTTTGTTTGCTCTCGATCTGATGATGAAATTCATGTTTATTTTGTAATTGTCACTAACTTCGAAAAAACCGTATTGAAATTTAACAATAGGATTATTTTTATGAAATTGCACCACCCTTAATGAATTAAAATTAATCTTAAATTTTGCTGGTAATAAAGCTTGTGAAAAATTCTTCCAATCCATGAAGTCTCCATAGTTTAAAACATTTACGTTGTAGTTTCTAGGCTTATTTCTAGCATTAGTAAGCATAGTTGGCCACTCAGAAGGAGCCCATACTGTTTTATTACGCACAAAACTTTCAATAGTGCTATGAATTGAGTCAACAGGCATCATGGTGTGTCCCGGTAAAAGATAAGTTACCTTTATTTTCGTAATAGTAATTGCAGTTTTCAAGAAATGAATTATCATGGATATCATTGCTCGATTCCTATTTTGCCCGGCACAGCTATCGGAGTATAAATTTATCTCTGTATGGGTACCTCTTTGGTCTACCATAATCAAGTAATTAAAAAGGACTGTAACAATTTCATTACAGCCCCCTTTTCCGTCGCATTCACCCCACAGGTAACAGTAACCTTCCCTTGTACCACTTTCGTATATACTTTCATTATAGTATGCATACTTCCTGGAATAGTATAGGGTAACACTTTTACCGTGTGGAGTATTCAGGACTTTTTCTAAATCAAAGCTTACGCATAAGGAGTTAGAATCAGTTAATTTGCTCATTTTTTGGTCTTCTAAAAACAGTTGTTTACATTTTTCTTTATCTCGAATGTGATTTTTATATTCAGGGGTTTGCTCAAAAATAATTTTGTTCTCAGGTGGTAAATTTTTGCACTTCTCACAAAAAGCACTTTTATCTTTTTTAGGCAGATGGAATCCGATATTAAAATCCCTTTTGAAAATGTTACGAAATACTCTTTTTGATAATACTGATGATTCTGGATTATTTTTTTCACGTGATTAACATACTGTAAATACAAAAACGATATATTTTGAAATTCTTGAGGTAAATATACTTTAGTGCTTTTATTGCGACAATAATGGGATGGAACAGCGGGCAACATCTCAATAAATGATTTTAACTGAGCGACTTCTACCTCGTCAGATTTATTATGAGGACGACTAGTTCTTTTGCCATCTCGAGTGGTATTCAGAGCTTTATTAGCATTTTCGATGGTGTATCTCATTGACATTTGGGATATGTTTAGGGTCTTAAGCAAAAATTGTTGACATACTTTAATATTCTGTCCATTGTAGCTGATAAAATAATCGTATGATATTTTGCGAACATTACTACTGGATCTTTTTCTTCCAATCGGTTTTTCTTTAGCACAGTACAGCAGGAAATCTTTTTGTCTTTTATCACAACCTAATCCCCAATAGTTTTCAAAAATATTATTGCGATCATCTTCCGTCAATTTATTTGCACATGAGTTACCACATTTTTTATTCATACAAGGGTTTGGTTGTATAGATTTCCCTACAGCAGCCTTACGATTTTTTTTTGCTAAAAGTCGTTTTGGTAAAGGTTTTATTTTCCTATATCCTCTTTTACCAACACTTGTTTCTTCTTCTATTGTTTGAACTGACTTATCTTCATCCGAATCACTGGACGATGAGGCAGGCTTCCATGAATCTTCACTATCAATAGAGGTAATGCTGTCGTGGGTCTCCAAATTCTTGGACACATTTAGTTCTTGTTGGTCAAACAGTGAACTGGTGCTCGGCTGTATTAATTGATTAATGAAAGCTGGCATAGTAGGATCATAAGTTGTTAAGTCTTTTATGTTCTGGTTATCTAAATTCATTAAAGTGTAAGTATTCTCAGTATCTGAATCACTGTAATCGACAAGTTTAGTTTGAGGTAATGGTGTTAATAATGCGTTAGTATTGAGCTCAGAATTTAAATCTGTATCACAAATATAATCGATCAACGAAGGTGATGTATCAGTTAATATTGGGTCCATGTCAATATCGTTGTAGCTGTCTGTTAGTAAGAATTGATCTAGAGCTGGGGCCTTATCTTGCTGTATGTTCTCGGGAAAAGCAGTTCCAGGATTACTCTCTTCTGATATGGGAAGTGGTGATATTAACTGCATAATTTTCTTCATTCGTGACTATAAAAAGCAAATAATAACTTAAAAAGAATCACATAATAATAAATAAAGCATTAATGGACAGACGTAGGCAGTGACCTACTACGACTGCTTATTTTATACCAGTGGTGCGCCCTCGCTTTGCTTTGGTTAATAAGATTTCCCATGGGAATTTCGGGACAAAAAGTATCCATATTATTCCTGATGAACCCAGGGATAATCTAATGGTTAACGTACGTACTGGTATTAAGTTTTCCCCAATTCAATTAAAAAAATTAAAACACAAAGCATACCTTAGCTGCAGGAGTCGACATTGCTGTTTTATTTGATGTTTTGGTGTTAACTATGTGCACTTTATTTAAAACACAATAAGGAAACAATAACGAAACAATAATACAATTAAAAATGTTATTATGGCTGAAACTGGTTTTTTTTGCTACAATTCAACGAGAACAATGTTTTTGTCGCATTACTTTCACGGAAATAAACAGGTCACGACAGGTTTGTTTATAGTAAACGCCTCATAGTCTATCACCTATGTCGGTTGCGATAACAAGTAGTGTCACTTGCGCTACAAAAAATTGATCGCAAGGCGCTTACGATAAAAATGCTTGTTGTCGCTTACGTTATGGCTTTAAAAATATATGTATTTACGATAATTTTAGAACTTGCTACAACTTTATAACGGTTAAATTTTGGCGGGAAATGTCAACAGGGATGGATCCGTTATGGTTTAAAATACTACTTACGATAAAAAAAGCATTTTCGACAAAAGTGTCGCTTACGATAATTTGGCGGTAACGGCTCGATATTCCATTCCCAATACTTTTAGTGCAGCCTATGTAACCTGATGGCACTTTTTCATTTGTCGGCGATGAACGAATTTCGGCTTAGACTCTCAATAGCCTCGTCAAAATATAGTCGTCGAAGCCTCTCGATGAGGGTACTTAACCCTTAATTACTCGCGTCCATATAGTTACACTTACGCTCGCGTGGGGAATATATAACCCCAATTGTAAAGGTACAATAAAACATATTTTTAATGACATATTTTTAATGACATACTTTTTTTTTATTATAAAAATTTGAAAGAGGCAACATTGTTCTAAATTGTAATAGTATCTTAAAAACTTTTAAAGATATGAAACTTTAAATTTAGGAACTTTTTAATCAATACATTTATCACATATCATAGTGGAATGGTCGTGACAAACTTGCTGGTGGCATTTGGCACACATAAATCTTATTTTTTTATCCTTCGACTTTGGACAGATATGGCACCTTTTATAAGTTGTCGATGGACCACCTCTGGAAGTGGGGCTAGGATCCTGAACTTGAGCATTTCTTTTTAGCCGTTTTTGTACGGCCCTAGGCAGTTGTAGTATAGTTGCTCGAGTTTGTTGGCGAGCCTTTACCAAATCAACTGCAAGATGCTTCAAAAACTCCCTTCTTGATATTCCGTGGTCAATTTTATTTTTATAAATGACATATGCATTGATACCAGCAACGTTGAGAAGGTGATAAAATATAACCATAGGCCATCTCTTTGTACGTCTGCCGACGTTATAGTTAGCACACATTTGGTCGTTGGTATCTACGCCACCTTTCGTGCGATTGTAGTACAAAATAATTTCCGGTTTCTTCTTTTCACTTTCAACTATTTTATTGTCATGATGCATTGACGAAATCAGCAGTACAGCTTTAGATT